TCACCATGGAGTTTGTGGACCCGTCCGTCATCGACGCGACTGCTCCTTCCATTCGTGTTTTAAGAACTACTACACCCGCAAGACCACGTACCCTTTCAACCTCATATCAAACGGAGGTCTTGAAGAGTTCAAAATTTGTGCAAAATATATGGGGGGTTGTTTAGGCACACTAGTTTCTGTTGTGTTTGTACTTACAACTATTCTTTGGGAAAAGTAACATTTCCACGTTCAGAACGAATAACTTTCAAAATTTGAGCCCATGGAATCGCCTTTTTCCAAATTTGTGATTTGAACTGCTTTTGTGTGAATTGGATTTTTTAGATGTGAGAAAACGCTGACACAACCGAGGTCATGCAATTGGGCGTTAAATGCAATACAATTGGCGACTCTCACGTCGCGTCGGCTGCGTGCTGGTATTCTGTGCGGGGTGTCTCAATGGTGGCTGAATCCGGCGATTGCGATCCTTCAGCCGATCGACCAAAGCACAAAACGAGCAGCATGAGGACCTGCACAGCCACACCAATGTACAAGACCGTGATACATGCTTGGAATGCGCTGCAGTTGACGGCGATGTTGCACAGGCGACCCCACATACTTCCCGACAGCACAACCGCCGCCACGATCAGAGCGATCAAAATCACAAAGTCGAACGTCACTTGATTCCCATGCGCCAGGATCTGCACATTCGAGCCTCTCTTCACGGCCGAGTACGTCCAGATGAAGCCGTAGATGATGAGGGTGTAGCTAAGCACGAGCGCATAGTCCCCGGAACTGAGACCCGTCAAAGCAGTGGCCGTGACGAAGGCGATGAACATCACCAAGGTCAAGAGGCCGCGGAGGCCAATGTGCAGCGCACGGTGGTTGTTGACGACGTAGCGCTCGATGATTCCTGTCATGGTGGCAAATCGGACAATGGTGGAAGGATGCTGCCGACGGCAACGGATTTTCCCAAGGTGCGCAACATGACCGTTGGAAAGTGGCCAATCATGGATGCCTTCATGCAAATCAAGCCATTTGATTGGACAATTCCTTGTCAACGATATTCTGCGCGACATCTACTGCGTTGTCGCTGCGTGGAAGCGATGCTCCTTGGGCACCGGACCAACGGGCGTCTCCGGGACCGGCGCCGCCATCTCGATCGCTGTAGGCAATTCAAACAGCGCGAGCCCCGCAGAGATCCCGAATAACAAGGAAACGAACATCGTCAACGCAATGGATGCAACAAATCGACGGCATCGCACGTAGATGCTTTCGTGGCAATGGTACAAGTCGTCGCTGTCCATGAGCACAATAGCCACCAAAAGCAAAAGGATCGACAGCGCAATGTCGACAGTCATTTCGAATCTTCTGGTAGGGCTACACAAGGCGAAAGTTAACGTGTGAGGTGGTTCATGGCAGGCAGGCAGACCTCAGACGAGACAGGGACGGGCGTGATAGCAACACACACAAGATCCCGCTGTACATGGCAGCCGAGGTCGTCATGAGAACAGCTGCATTGACGGAGTAGGACGTTTCAAGGATAAGCGAGGGTTGGCCTGGCACCTTGACAGGGTGGAAGATGCCACAGAGGGACACCATTGCCACCACCGCCACAGCGCATTGGAGCAAACGTAGAAAGCACACACACGACGGGTTCATGGCAAATGATGCACTGGGCAAACTGTCACGAGTAGCTGAGGTGTTCGAGTTGTGAATTGCCCGTTGCGCGGAGCTTTGCCGCTGGCTTGCTGTGCTCATTACGAGCATCTCAGTCCTAGCCAAATGGACTAGATGTGCCCGGACAAGCTGGCGCGACGTGCCGCGACCTGTCGGGTGCCCGAGATGCGGCCCATCATCAACAACCAGTTGAAACACATCCGGATACACTATCCGGTACGTGAACCATCAATGATGTTTTCGACGGCAGCAGCCTCGTGGGCGTTGGTGTGTATAGCGACGTCCGCAGTCGCGTTGCATGTGTACCAGCTGAAGAAACAGGTTGAAGCATGCCAAGTCTCGTTGGAGAAGAAGGAAGCAGCGCGTTTGGAAGAGCGAGTGGGGCGAACGGCAGCTGAAAAGGTAGGTGAATGTTTGGTGGTGATGACCCTCTGCAAGCGCGGCGTGTGTAGGAGCTGCGGGCAGTGCTGGAAGCCAAGCTTGACGTGTCGGCGGGATATTACGTTCAGCCAATTGCAACAGTTCAGTCGTGCTTTGTCCAGTGCTTGGGTACACCTCGCCAGGGTCTATTGGCTCCATCGACTCGCGGCCGCATTCAGTTCCACCGCAACATCTCCCCGGATGCAATGGATGGTCTGAGCGAGTTCAGCCACATTTGGATCACATTTGTGTTTCATGCCAACACCAATGGGAAAAATGCCCGAGCGCATGATGGGCTGCTTTCGTCAAGAACCAGTCACACGTTCCGGGTACGTGCGCGAACCTGGCGATCGTTCCTAATGCACCCGGAGCGAAGGCCAAAATCTCTCCGCCGATGCTAAAGCAACGCATTGGCGTGTTCGCCACCCGCACACCGCATCGACCGAATCCGATTGGCATCACGTTGGCTAAGATCGAGAAGGTTGACTTGGCTACACGATCCATTTTGGTGTCTGCGCTCGATTTGGTGGACGGCACACCCGTATTGGATCTGAAGCCTTATGTACCAAGTACGCTCGCTTGATATGAAAAGTTCACTGGTGTGACTGTGCGCCAGTGTACGACAGCTTGCCCGGCAGCACAGTTCCCGACTGGATTCAAGCCTCGGTGCAAAGCCAGAGGTGGATATCGAACAATGCTGTGGAGGCTTGATCTGTCGCTGCTCTAGTGCAGTTCGGTTTGATTCAGACAAGGAAGACGCCATGCGACAGTGTTGTGCAGGCCACTCCGTCTTCTACGCGGGTGAACCCGACGTGATGCTGGAGGGTACGCGGCTCAGTGAACGTCCTGACCCAACGTCACGATCGAGTTTACATGCGTAGCCATTGCGCAAGTGCTGGCAGTTGATGTGCGCAGCCAAGTTCAAACGGCGAAGATGCATACCAAAGTGAACAAACTCTTGTTCGACACCGTTCAAGTCGAGTACACCGTTGAAACGGGCAACGGCATCGTTGTGCACGACATCCAGCCTGCCTCAGCCAAGAGCGCCATGTCGTGAGCGGCATTCTTTGTCAACAATTATGAGCTGTGACGTTCTGTGACGATTGGCGGCATCGTTCGCGACGTTCTGCTTGCACTCCCCTCGATAGATTACTTGTGAGTGTGGCGGTTTCAGGAATACCTCCGGATAACTTTAGATGCGCACTTGAGAGAGTCGTTTCGTCAACATCGAAGCCGCGTCGAATGACTTGGTTAAGTCCGCTTATCCGGATACTGTGATTGCGGAATGCCGCAGCACAGCTCCATTTTCAGCCACAGCAGCATCTTGCCCATCATGTTCCAAGTACGCCCTCCATCGTAATGTAGATGGGACTGACCTGGACATCTGTGTAGACGACGTTGCGTTCCTTCTCCCGTGCGTCCTCCCGCTTCGCCTCCACCCTTGTTGTAGCCGAACACAACGGTGAAACCCTCACTGGTGGCACCTTGAGCGCGATCACGGCTGCATCCAAGATCGGTGGCGACATTACCGTGTTGGTCTCTGGCTCCAACACGGCCAGCATCGCCAAGGAAGCTGCCGCTGTGCAAGGTGTGAAGGCGGTGCTCCATGCTGATGCTGCTCAATTCGATCATGCCATCGCGGAGGAATTGTCATCTTTGGTTGTTACCATCCAAAAGGGTTCAAACTTTTCCCACATCGTTGCGCCTTCGAGCAACATCTCCAAGAACTTCCTTCCCCGTGTTGGCGCTGCTTTGGACGTCGCCCCCTTCACTGACGTGTTATCGGTTGTCGATGAAAACACCTTTCAGCGCCCTCTCTACGCTGGGAACGCCATTGCCACCGTCACCTCGTCCGATTCAGTCAAGTTGCTCACGGTGCGTCCCACGGGTTTTGAAAAGGCCGCCACCACCGGCGGGACCGGTGCCGTAAGTGCCGCCCCAGCTGCACCTGCCGCGAACTTGACTCGTTTCGTCTCTGAAGAAACGTCATCGTCGGAACGACCAGACTTGACGGCTGCTCGCGTGGTCGTGTCTGGCGGCCGCGGCTTGAAGAGTGGTGAAAACTTCGCCCTGTTGAATACATTGGCGGACAAGTTGAAGGGTGCGGTCGGTGCGTCGCGTGCCGCCGTGGATGCTGGCTTTGTGCCGAACGAGTTGCAGATTGGACAAACCGGCAAGGTCGTTGCCCCTGAGCTGTACATCGCTGTGGGTATTTCCGGCGCCATCCAGCACTTGGCTGGCATGAAGGACAGTAAGACAATCGTCGCCATCAACAAGGACGCGGAGGCGCCCATCTTCCAGGTCGCCGATTACGGCCTCGTGGAAGATTTGTTCAAGGCCGTGCCCGAGTTGACCGAGAAGATTTAAAGTGTACGGATAATCCGGATAAGCCCAGGAACCGTGTCGTTTCATCGTTTCCGGCGATCGCAGTCTATTGAAAGAGTCGGCGTGGCGAAGCAACGAGTGTGAGGACATCGAGCAATGCGAACGAGGTATGAGGCGAACGTGGAGAGGGGCGTCATGACGCTGTCGAATGATTCATGCGACCATCATGCACTCGACAATTGCTTCGAGCACAAAGGTAGAACGTGGAGACATGTCGGCGCGATGGATTTTGGAACTTTGAACGATGGGAACGCTTTTTGGCGAAGCGATGATCGTACATGGTGGAAGAACAACAGGAGGATGGTGCTCCAGCGGGACAATACGCATCGGTTACGTAGCGTTACGAGTTTCCAGGAGAAACACCGCCCCAGACAACCGTTTCAGGTTCAGCCCGACGATGGGGAACGAGACAGAGGAGTCGCGCGTGGAGAAGGAGTTCTACGTTGTATTTGTTCTGGAGCCCGATGGATTCCGGCATCGCGTTACCGCCACGGCCAACTCAACCTTGAAGCAGCTCAAAGAACAGGTTATCTTGGATCTCAAGCTCACGCACAACACGTTGCTAATCCCCGAGCTTGACGAAGGTGCACAAGCCAACGCTTGGCACGTTGTGTAATTTTAATGTGGCGTAGCATGTGCGGCGAATGGATCTCATCCAGCCGACTTCACGCTCTCGAATGCTGGCTTGATTCTCAACACCGACCAGGAAATGATCCTCCACGCGTCGGTGGTTGCCAAGAAGATTGGCTCCAGTGAATACGTCATGCCCTCCGAAATCGAAGTCACCGTCGCGTCTGGTAAGCACGACCCATTGCAAGCAGCTCCTAACAACGGCACAAGACAATGGCGCACCACTCACGACCTTTACTGTGCACATCCTCAAGTTTACAGGCCACAAACCCTACTTGGGTGGCTATCGACACAAAATCACGGATCAAGTCTTTCACCACGCGTCAGCCCAGGTTTATCCGTTTTCATCGCAACGTCCATCTTATTTCCACGTGACAGACTGTCGTAACCAAACAAAAGGTCCGTCGGGGGCCTGCCAGGTTCCACCGAGAGACGCAGACACACAAAACTGTGACGAAAACAGCTCAAACCGTGCGCGAACACGGCACCCAAATGACTCGATGCGACTTGCTTGTCGACACGAAAGGAGACCGAGAAGTCGTCGCAAAAACATATTTCAATTCCGCCCAACTCGAATGTTTGCGCATGGATTCGTGCTTGTTATTGCAATGCCATTGGCGAGCGTACGACCTTTTTCACAAGACATCGTTCACGTTGTGCGCAATAGATATCGCGCCCGGTGCTTTGTGCATGCAATTCGACAGAAAAAGCTCGAAGTGTATTCAAATGACGAAAGATTTGCGGTGGAAACCAAGGCGATGCTAGCGGCCAAACAGCGCAAGGAAATCGACCGACGAATGCATCCCAACTCGCAGCATGATTTCGAAGTGCTGTACAACGAACTGGACCAGTGGCGCCTGTACGAAACGAAGAAGGTCCAGGAAGAAGGCGGGTTGACGGACAAGGAGCGAACGGCCGCGATGGCGGCGATTCTTGCCAAAGAGACCAAGCTTCTGCAGACGATTGATCGCTTGAAGAGCACGGCAACAACGAAGAATCGCAACGCTCGCATTGAAGCTATGTTAGACGTGTTGTCGCGGCCCAAGCAATGGCAGATGAGCGATGGCATTATCAAGCCTGTGGACACGCCGTTCACGGTATAAACGGCCACGTACACCTGCAATGATGGATATCACAACATAATGTGTGTAGGTGCGTGCGAAAGAGCTGACCGAGTTGTACCATGGCCTCAAGCTGCCACTTCGGAACGTCGAGGAGCGTCTTGAAGTGCTGTTGCACGTAAAGTGGACCGTGAAGGAGTTTGAGTGTGCCTTGACGAAGGAACTGATGGAGCTGATCGATCGCGAAGCCGACATGTTGAACCGCGGACGACCGGCACAATCGGTGGAAGGTTTGCGCAAGCGCATCTCGAACCTGTTTTTGCAGTTCATCGAGAACCCAACGTTCAACCCAGAGGCCGCGAGTTTGCGCCACATCATCGGGAATTCATAACTAATCGCAACGTTTTGTGTACAATTACGCCAAATCTGTGACTTCGTGGTCCGTGCCAGCGTTCGGGTTTTGGATCACAATCAAGGCGTACTCCTTGTCTGGTGCGATCATGATCTCGTGCTTCTTGGACCGAATGCGGAGGAACGTCATGTCGTTGCTCGGATCAAGGGTTCGAATCGTGCTCTTCGCCTTGGCCGCGAGTTGGGATAGGAGTGCCGCATGGTCGATTGCGAACTCTTCGTCGTTCGTGCTCGAGTAGATCGGGACACCGTCGTTGTTGACGATGAGCACCGCTTGAACGCCCTTGTGGCTCTTGATACGCTTGATAGTTTCCTCAGCTTCGTACCCAGACTATATGCATATGCACACGTGCACCGCATGAGACACACGTCGCCATCACCTCGATCCTTTCCTCGACGTACCATGACGGTCGGCCGGTTTGGAATTGCTCTGACGGGGTCGAAGGATAGCGTTATCCGGACATTTTGCGCTTTGCGGATCCCTCAAATCTTGGAAAGTTGTGGGGGTGCATAACCGGTTGATTATCCGGAACTCCTCCAATCATCAGTTTCGAAAACGTGTTGTGCCGACCATGCAGATGAAGGAATGAAGCACACGAACGTGACGACCACGATGGGCTATCCAGGAAAAGTGTGCCAGAGCTAACGACATCATCGATTGAATTGGGCTGGCTTGGCCCTCATGTTGATTCGATTACGTGCTCGCGCCAGCCTGCCCTGATTGCACCCTCGCAATGGCGTCGTCATCACCAATGGCTCACACAGGGCGTGCATTACAACTCGTCACGAGCCTCTTTCTTCCTTGCAATGCGCTGTTCCAGTTTTTCAATGTTGTGGGCGCCTTGGCTAACCAAAGGATGGTGCTCCCCGTGCAACGCGACAGCAATTGCCTGCGCTTCCTTGAGCAATTTCAGAGCTACATCTTCACGGCCGAGATATGTGTTGACCTTCCAAGTTTCCTCAGGTGTATTCCGAAGGCACACCCCGACTCAATGGCCACGTACCCCTGCCATCAGGTTCAAGCTAAACGCGTATGGCATTGACTTCGCTCCGTCACGTCGCTTGAAGATGCCGCTTGCGACCGTCGCGTACGTCAACGCGTCGTCCAACTTGTTCGCCTTCATTAATCCACTTGCAAGACCCTGGTACACCTCGCCAACTCCTGCTTCATGGGCAGCAGCCGCGCGCTCCCTGGGGATGCTACATGGACAAATTGGTGGAGCTGAAGGACATGTTCGAAGGGATCCGTACTTTTCGCCGAGCCCCAGTTCAGCCAACAAGTTCTTGTACACTTTGATGGCCTTCTTGAACTTGCCGAGCTTTTCATACGACTCCCCAATACGTCGGGCGGCCTCCACGACAGTCTCATGGGTTTTGCCGAGACCTTTCTCCGCGTGCGACTTGAGCTGCTTGTAGCTGTCGATCGCTTCCTCGTGCCTGCAACGAATCAGGACGGGACGTAGTCAAGGATGCATTTACTGTTCCAAGGCCAAGTACACTTCACCCAAGTTGCGCAATGCCAACGAGTAGGCGGGATGCGACGGGCCGAAGATCTTCTTGGAAAGGTCCACGGCTTGCATCAGCACCTTCTTTGCAGGGACATACTGTTTGTCTGCATACAACACGTTTCCCAGCTCACTCAATGTTTGAGCAAGGAGTGACGCATCCCCTGCACGTTTCTTGGCATCGGTGCGGGTCTCATGGAGATCTTGAAGGGCCCGAATGGCGCGGTCGAGTTTGTCCGCGGATTCGCGGTACGAGCCACTGTCTTTAAGCTTCAACGCGTCGTTGCGAAGAAAACGAATGTCGGCAAGCGCGGGGTCGTCGTCCTTTGGTGGAGGGCCTCCCAGCACCAACATGATGCATGCGGCCAGCACCAACGCCGGCACAGTCCACCTCATTGTGCTGTTCGACGATGACAAATCCGGATGACAGAAGTTTGTTATTCGGAAGAGAACCTTTCGAGCCACGGATTGGCTAAAATTCATGACAAGCAGACTGCAATAAAACGTTTACGTTATAATTTTCCATTGGCTCAAATTTGGTGACTTTGTCAGGCACCTCTGTGATCTTTTCGGCATCTCCAAGTTTGAAGAGCCATGACACCACCGACAGCCGACACGCAGCACCCTCTGCGAGTTCTGGAGCACAAGGTACCGTTCCGCAACTTAGTTGTGGGGCTCTTTCTGTTGTACGCCGTCTCTTTCGCCATTACGTGGTCCCGAGTGTGGTGGAACACTGCCGTGGGCATAGCTGTCGCAGCTTTTGGACTTCTCTGGTTGGCATACCCCACGGTCAAGGGCGGCATCTTCCTCGAGCTGGTGAGCATCATCTACTTGAAATCCATCGTCACGGGGAGTTGCTTGTAGTACTACTATTGTTCGTTTGGCACTATTCTCCTCCACGTTTTCACAGCGGGTTTCCTCGGCTACGACCTGGTAGTGTCCGACCTCCACGCTGCGCTGGGGCGATCGGAGGACCCCCGATCGCTGTGGGGAGTCAGCACAGCGCTCATTCTTGTCGTGTCTGCCCAGGCCGTCCATTCGGTACCGTCCGCGTTTGGCATCCCTGGCACTTTTTGAGTCCGTAGGGAATGGCTGTGAACGCATGCTACAGCCTCCGCATGGAGTTGCTGCGCAATGAACTCGTGTCTACTGTATATCCTGCCTACACTGAGCTCACTGCAGTTTAAGACCGCTAGCAAATTGTGGTGCATCGAATTGATTTAACATACTGCATTTCTGCTTAAGAAATCGTGTTGCCGTAGTCTCTGTCGATCGAACCTGCCACATCGACTACGGGGGCCACTACGTCGCTCTCCAAGACATCGTCATCGTCGTCATCGTCATCATCGTCATCATCATCGTCATCATCGTCGTCATCGTCATCGTCATCATCATCGTCATCATCGTCGTCATCGTCATCGTCGTCATCGTCATCGTCGTCATCATCGTCGTCATCGTCATCATCGTCATCATCATCGTTCTTGGAAGCTACGGATTCGACAGACTCGATGGATGCAATAGCTTCACCTTCAGCAGCGGCCAGGCGGCGCTCGCCATAGTCATCGTAGTCATCTTCCTCAACCATGGGGTCGTACTCGTCTTCGGCGACATCGTCATCATCGTCATCGTCATCGTCGTCATCGTCATCATCGTCATCGTCATCATCGTCATCGTCATCGTCGTCATCATCATCGTCGTCGTCATCGTCGGTATTTTTGCTGGCAGTCGCTTCGGACGCTTCCGCCTTCAAGACGCGGGCAAAACCGACCTCGGTCGCGGCCGAATCGAGAGCCACCATGTGAGGGCTAGCGTCATTCATGGCGACATCAGCGGAGCAGATGGCCAAGGCGACGGCGAGGATGGCGGCGAACACTTTCATCTTGGTCGAGAATGCGGAAATGGGCATACCGACGACTGGAAACCACCTCGATCGTCGAATTGACAGTCGTCCGATTGTAAATTTGGTGGATTGTAAATATCCGGATTCGTCCAATTTGGCCAAATATTTGTATTGTCGAATATTTGTAAAAAACGTGAAGTTTGGTCGAAATCGTTGAAATTTCAATTGCCCTTCTGCACGTGGCCGTCCATGAATCCTGCCGCGTCCACAATTGACAACCGGCGGCAAATCGACGAGTGGCGCTGGATCGGCTCAGAGATTGGCATTTTCAAATTACCGACGCTGACCAAGATGAAAGTGTTCGCCGCCATCCTCGCCGTCGCCTTGGCCGTCTGCTCCGCTGATGTCGCCATGAATGACGCTAGCCCTCACATGGTGGCTCTCGATTCGGCCGCGACCGAGGTCGGTTTTGCCCGCGCCTTGAAGGCGGAAGCGTCCGAAGCGACTGCCAGCAAAAAAACCGACGATGACGACGACGATGATGATGACGACGATGACGATGACGATGATGACGATGACGATGATGACGATGACGACGATGACGATGACGATGATGACGATGTCGCCGAAGACGAGTACGACCCCATGGTTGAGGAAGATGACTACGATGACTATGGCGAGCGCCGCCTGGCCGCTGCTGAAGGTGAAGCTATTGCATCCATCGAGTCTGTCGAATCCGTAGCTTCCAAGAACGATGATGATGACGATGATGACGACGATGACGACGACGATGACGATGACGATGATGATGACGATGACGATGACGACGACGACGTCGCTGAAGATGAAGTGGGTGCCGTCAAGACATCCAAGGAAACCTTTCGATTGAACTCTGCGTCCGACACAGAGGCATTGACAAAGCACCACGGATATGAAATCCAATCCGACGGCGACTTCTAAGCGCAAGGACCTTTCTTATTCTCGTGTCGTTCTTGACTTGGGTACCTTTTCGCCGCTTCGATCGGCCAACTTCGCAATGCTCATCCCAGTGCGTCCCGCGAAAATGGCCTAGAGCGAGAGAGCGATGGTTTCGTCGGCCGCCGTGGCCATGTTGGGTACCAGTGAACCAGAGAACTGGGCGCCGTCATGTGCAGCAACCCAGGCAGCGTCTTCCACGGCGGCATTTACCACTGCATGCTTCCGTAAAAATATCAAGAAGGGATTGGGCAAACGCTTTCGGAGTCTTATTTCTAGTATTACTAGGGATGGTTGTTAGTATAGACCAAACTCGACCTGTGAAAGTAAATACTTGCGTCCGTTGCGAGATGGCGTCGTTGCCAAATCGCGCGAATCGAGGGTCGCGTATCAACAAGTTGATCGGTGAAGCAGCCGAGGCAGACGAAGCGTTCTGGAGCCATGAAGTGTGGAATGACGATGAGGACGAGGACTACGTGAGCGAAGCCGAGGAGGAAGATATCGTGGATTCGGACTTCGACGAGGAGGAAGCACCCGACGAGGATATCCACGACGGAGACGTGGAGCGGAATCGAAGGGCGAAAACCCGAGCACCGAAGATATTGCATCAACGTCCACTTCGTTCGACTCCTCGTACACCTACATACTCTTGTCCACCAGCCGCATCGACTCCAACTGCCCCTGCGGGTCCAATCGAACCCATGGCTGTTCGATCGTCGACCGTCCAGAAGCGGTTCTTGTCGCAGGAGCTCCAGCAAAAGTACACAGAGGAAGCACGCAATATGCATGATAAAGTTGCCAAGGTCGTTGTGCGAATGACGCAGGAACAACTGCTGAAGGAAGCCGTGTTGACGGAGGTGCAGAACACTGCGTCGCTGAATCGACTAGAGCGACTGGAAGAAGAGAAGCGCCTCGTGGACGAGATCATGCCCAAAGCAAAGCACACGGGGCCCATGGTGCGCTACCACAGCGCGCTTGGCAAGCCGAAGCTGATCACGTTCCTCCATGTGGACGACTTTCCCGCAGTGTTCAAACGTCCCAAGCACGACACTGTGTCCCGGTGATCATCTATTTCGTTAATGCGATGATTTAGTTCCGAAACGATTTTCAAAAGTGCCCAGATTATTCTTTTCTTGCTTCAAAAACTCTCCACGGCGCTTAATGCGCCTTCTTAGCCTTGACCTTGGCCATCGCGGCTTCTGTCGCGCTCCAGTAGAGACCAATCTGGGCCAACAAGGTCCCGTTGAGAAGCATCGAGATCGCAAACCCAAACAGAACGACTTGATCCCCCGTTTCCTGCAGATAACATGCACATCAGCGATTACAAAGGTGAATTTGATGGTACCTGGAGAGTCGTGAACAACCGGGCGGCCGACCCACCAAAGTTCAAGAACAGCGTCAGGAACGCCAGTTGCCCCGTGTGCCCTTGCTGGAAGTTGGACATAATCTACCGATGCATCCAACTCGTTGAGGCAAAATGACTACGGTGCACATACTTGAGGAATGCGCGCCATGACGGACAACGGAATACTTGCGGACGGAAGCAACCAGTTGAACTCGGATGGAAGGTAAAACATCCCAGCGCCCAACGCCACAAATGTGACGACCCCCAGGAATTGTGTCGACTTGGCCGCACCAGAATAGTGCCACAACAGGAGGACGAGGATCGCATTCTGGATCAAAATGACGGCCGATTCACCCCACGAGCTGATGGGATACCCCTTGAGGACGTTGTATACAACAGACGCTTGGAACGTGATGACTTCGAGGTAGAACGACGACGGGTTGAGCCCGGCAACGTTGCCTGCTGCTACAATCTTGAGGATTTGGGGCAGCTTCAAGATGAAGCTGCCAAGGATGATGAGGTACCCAAGAAGCTTGGACACAACAGCCTTCCCGCACTCGATTTGGAGGAAGTCGAAGCGCGTAAAGTATGCGTCAAAGCACTGCGGTGTGAACACGCCGTACAGGAGCTCGCCCTTCGCCACGCGTCCAGGAGCCATGAAAATGGAGATTTGTGCAGTCAACTCAACCTCGTCAAAGCACGTTGATTGGATAAAATGAAACATGCAAGCCTTCAAATTCATCCAATAAAAAAATTTATTCGAAAATCGTGCAATTTGATTGGATTGTCTAGAAGCATCACATTGCGAGCAGCTTCCGAAAATCCGAGAGATTCAATTGTCCATCTTTGTCAGCGTCGGCGGTCGCGACTAGGACGCGGAGGTCGTCTTCACTCAACTTTCCATACCCGAGACTATCAAACAGTCGGGACAGAACCTCCAAGCTCACAAACCTACGCATGGACGAGCCTTGATGCGCATCTTGACAGGGGCAGACCGACGTACCCCGTGCCGTCTGGGTCATACGCACGGAACGCTTCCGCAACGGGATCGTAGTCCGCGATGTCGTTTTCGAGCAATAGGTCGCACAAGGTTTGCTCCGTCAGCTCGGATTCATTGTTGAGCAAGACGCGGTAATCCCGTGTCGACATGTCTTTGTAGAAAATCCCAAGCCTTGACTGCAAGCGGCCCTGCCGTCAGTGTTTTCATGCACACACCAAGCTGGTACCTTGAGGTTTTCCATGGTGACGACTCCCTTGCGCTCCACGTCAAAGAAGTCAAACGCGGCTCGTATTTGCTCTTTGGTCACGAGCACACCTCCTTTGGCCTACAAGACCGTGTGATGACGCCAGGATGAAAAGGGGACACGGTGTGTACATTGCGCAGAACTTGATCTGAAATGGATGAGTCGATTGCAAACGGCGAGCTGTCGTCGTGAGTCGTCGTGGTGGCATTCTCTGGGCTGGCCATCCTGCTGGTGTGGCCAAAGTGACCTTTCAGATTTCAACCAAGCCCATGGAGCCAATCAGAATCCATCATGACGATCTTGACAAGCCAATCAAGAGGCGCAACGGGCAAAAGCAGCGCGCACCATGTAAAAGCAGATCGGGTTCCGCTGACCGGCCTTTGCAGTACAGCCATCGACAGACCCATGCTGTCATGCTCGTCGGAGATTCTGCTTCTTCGCCATCACATACACGAGTTTCCCAGGAACAAGATCGAATGACCCGGTCGTGGTATTCCAATCCGACGGCTGTCAAAAGTTCCATCGGCATGTCCCAAAGCCCTACCGACTTTGCACTGCCCATGGACACCGCATAGCGAACATTCACCAGGCAGTCAGTCCATGAACACGTATAACAAACCTTGCGAGTGTAGATGTGACGATTCGACGACGGTGCATTCATGTCGTCCTGAGTAGGACTTGGCTAGAGGATGCACACCACCACCAGATGGAGTGTTCTGTATTCCCCTTCTGGGGCCGGTTTTTATGGGGTAGAGAGAAGTGGGCAACAACGGGCCGCATGGTTGTCGTCGTTGCATTGTACCATCTTTCAATTTGCTCCACCTACACCACGATGGCCCACGTCTCGAGCTTTGATGGCGCACCCACGAACGCAAGTCCATGGGCTAAAGAAGTCATTCCCGTGCTCGGCAAAACCACAACAACGACTTGCATGTGTCAGTCCTGCCAACTCCCCATTGACCAAGGTCACATCCGTGTCGGTCTCATCTTCCATCACATGAACGGGTACATTGGGCTCGATTGGCACCACTTGACCTGCTGTGAGACCCCGGACCGCCTTCCCTTCGTCGAAGGCTACGACTTGCTGAGCCCCCAAGACAAAGCCATGATTCATGCGTTGGCAACCTCCCGATGACCATACAGGACAGCTATTTATCAACAGAACTTACAAACGATCCATCCATGCTGGTTGATCATGTCAAACCGTACTACAAATCGGCCTGGGCCGATGCCCCTGACGAGAAGCAATTCGCCCTGGACCTACAGATGTCCCCACAATGCATACCTCCATGGAAAACATTCGAAACCTTATTGCCCTCGTGAAGCCCCTCGACGACCTTCCGGTGTTCAGGCGTTGCGAGCACATCGACGGTCTGGCCGGTCGTCAACGAGTCCTCATCTATCCAATGCACTTAATAAATGATTTTGAAACGCTCATTCAGAATCCAACGGTTTCGCCTCGCACTCTTCCAAGGCCGCGAATGGGGACGACACTGTCGCGCAAGGTTGGTCGGTTCTGGACACGGAACGACCGCCGCGTGCTTCTCGTGGGTCTCGACTCGGCAGGGAAGACTACCATCTTGTACCATCTCCGACTTCACAAAGCAATTCCCACGTTGCCAACTCTGGGGTTCAACACAGAGGCATTGAGCTTCCACGGACTCACTTTGAATCTGTGGGATGTGGGGGGCCAAGACACATTACGACCATATTGGCGTCACCATTTCACAGGTACTCAAGGCATCGTGTTTGTCATCGACAGCTCCGACCACGAACGAATCGACTTGGCCAAGGCAGAGCTGCATGGTGTCTTGCACGACGAACAACTACGCGATGCATGTCTACTCGTCCTGCTAAACAAACAAGATCTCGCAAAGAATGACGTTGACATCGCCAAGGAGCTCGCGCTCGACGAAGTGTGCCAGATGCGAAAGTACTTAATCCAGCCAACCGTTGCCACGACCGGGAAAGGATTGGAAGAAGGCTTTTCGTGGCTGTGTGAGCACATGACTCCGCTATAACCACGCCACCCAACGATACCTCAAAGCCACGTACGACGCAGCGTAGAATAGGATTAACGATGTACACAGCGAGACGAAGGACGCTGCGCATCGTTCCTGTGATGAGCAATGGATCTTTCATTGCTGATGCTGCTGAGGTGCATGAACGTCCTGATTTTCAACAACTTTTCCCAAATATTTGATGAAATATTCATAGAATATTCGTATTTTCTGAGGATGTTGAGGTTGCCGCCAGTTTTCCGAATTGGTCGACCGCTAATGCCGCAGCCCACGACGCAACCACAGCTTCCGAGACATAAGAACGGAAACCGAAAGAAGCAAAGTCATGCGCAACGCGTGGGTCGAGAGCTAGCACGTGTTCTAGGAGAGCGCAAGATCCATCTGGTCGTGCGCGTGGTCGCGCTGATCGGCGAGCGTTTGGCGCGGAGTGTACTGGCGGAAACGCTGTCCATGCAGAAGCAAGGGTTGACTCTTAAGACCGTGACAGGACGACCTCGCACTCTTGGCGGAGCTTTTTTTACTCTCCTTAAGGAACGCGTGACCAAGGAAACGTACAAGGAGATCTACGCATTGGAAGACCAGAAGAAGAAAGAAATGAAGAAGTGTAAGGTGCGCGCGGCACGAATCAAGACAGAGAACGCTCTAATGGGAGGCTTTTCCACTCAGCTGCATTTGGATGATGATGAATCCAAGGAAGATGAAGAGGACGGCGAAGTTAACGACGCTCCTGGCGAGGACCCGCGTTTCATCGAGCGCGACTGGAGTGATCACGAGATGATGGACGAGTAGACGTTTTATTCAATAAAACGCGTATTTTATTAAACCAGGGGTATTGCCGCAAAGGAAGCATCTTTCAACGCAGCTAGTGCGGGCATCAATCGACGTACAATCAATGATGCTTTCACGTGACTAGCATCAATTTCCATGGCTTGTGGCTATCCATGTGTATTCACCACTAGCTTGGGTGTTTTCGTGCGTCAAAGGCCAACGTGACTTTAACTCGTTTTACGTGTTATTGGTGTTTAGGTAAAACCACCCCGCCTTCTCTACTTGTGCTTGCGGCACACAAGAAGGTGCACACCATATCCCAAGACGGCCAAAGCCGTCGTCCACATGAACGGACACGACGGAAGGACATGGTACGGGCATTTGGCCGTGCTCTTCTTCGCTGTCCGCGCGCGCATTTGTGCCATTTCGATGGCTGTTTGGGCCCACTCGATCCCGTGGTTGTGACCATCCTTGTCCAGACCAGCTCGCGCGCGAGCTTGCTCTTCGTTCAACACGGCCAGCACGCCAAACATAACAGGCACCCCCGTGTCCAAGTTGAGCTTCATGATGCCTTGAGTCACAGCTTCGCATATGTACTCAAAGTGCATAGTCTCGCCCTTGATCAAGCACCCAATGCAGATGACGGCGTCAACGTTCTCCGACAGGATCATGCGGCTCGCAGTGTAAGGCAGTTCATACGAACCAGGAGCAGTGTAGACGACGATGTCGTCGGTGGCAACACCAGCAGCCGTGAGTGTACGAATGGCACCGTCACGCAGGGCTTCAATGATCTCCTTGTTCCACTCGGTGGTGCAAATGCCGATGCGAAAGCCGCGTCCATCGAGAACGCGGGAGCTGAGCGCTTCCAGCGCCACTTTCTTCACTCCGTCGGCGTGCATGGTTCGATCGTGGGGTTTCGAAAATACCAACAACGAATGACCTCTCAAATCTGAATTCGACACGGGAAATACTTCAATAATGAATTACCCTCGAAATGTTATACCACTGCACCTTAGCATTCGATGCTTTACTGTTGACGACATTGCGAATCGCCTGCCCGCTTGCTCTCACTGAGTCGCTCATCCAGCAAATTTTTCTCGGCCTCCACGACTTCATCGGGTTTTTCGTACTAAGGAACATAACGAGGAGTCAAGGGCGACGTAATAGGCATCTCCTCACCTGGACGACAAGGGTGTTGTTGCTGTGGGTGTGAGAGAGGGAGCTCTGTTGGAGGGGAAGGCTGGCGCGGACCATCGCAGGGACACGAAATCGCTTAAAGTACTTCTTGTTCGTGGTTCGAATGATGATTTCTTGCGTGGCTTGGTCGATTGTGATCACGTAAGTGTCCTTGGGATATGGCAAATTCCGCACTCGCCATTCCCACGTTGCGGTGGATTCTCGGCACAAAAAGATCGGCTACGTTTTATACATCATCGCGATGCGCAAGACACGATTGAGAAATCTCACGCACATTGGTACCGCTGGGAACAATGCCAATGTCTTTCTCGACAACGGTGTCCAGCTACAACAGAATGCTCGGCGAGGCGCAAAACTTCCACAGCACAAACCGTGGGTTCGCCCACTTCAAACTCCCATTTCCCATCCCCTCCCAGTGCTGTAGGCGCCTTCCATCGCCGAACTACAGCCATTTCAATACTTTCATCATGACATGGCGTGATACCTAAGAGCTGAGGTCGGCCGTCGGCTGTGTATTCTTCAACCATCTCGACACCGTCGGAAAAGGTCGTGTGAATGCGAGACCTTCCTCCAGCGATTGCGCAGTTGGACGTTCCGCCGGGGTGCACGGAGAACTACCGCAGTACTATTAGGACATCGTTCATCGACCTCGTCGAGAGGGACGTCATGAACTCAGTACCATGGCCTTGCTCATCGCTCACGACTCTTGTTTTGACCCTTGCGATCTTTCGAAGTGACGGTTCACTTGGAATTCCAACGAGAGTAAGATATCAATTTTCAAATATACATACGAATCTATATTTATTCAATCTAATATTGAAGTTCAAACTCATAAACATCCCAAACGCTGGGTGAAATAGACCTCTATAATCTAATAAATGTCGCCAATAATGACGCCGCACTTGCGATGGTGGCGGGTGCTGTGGTGGTGTCGTTCGTGCTCCATGCCGCCGCTGTGCTCCTCTTCACGAATGGGTTCTTCCTCACACGCTATGAAGCTAAAGAAGTGAGCACGTGCACCGAGGAGGCGGCCGTTGCGTCTTCCATGCACCATCACCTCCGCCGACAGAACGGTTCAACGTCAGGATGCTGGAGCAATGTGAAGTTTCCTCGAGTCGTGTATATTGTAATCGACGCCTTGCGCTACGACTTTATGCACGAAGCTTCCCAAATCGAGCAACGGCAGAAAGCGAAAGACGGCGGACAGTACTTTCTCAATCACTTGCCGCACGTCCATGCGGTTCTTCGCGACAGACCAGCGCACAGTCTCTTGCTCCGCTTCGTGGCCGATGCCCCCACCATGACGATGCAACGGTGGGGTTTCTAAGCTCTCTTCTAGAAGATCACAATTCCACCTTGTGTGACAGACTCAAAGGCCTGACCACGGGCACTCTACCGACCTTTCTCGACATTAAAGATAACATGCACAGCGAAGAGATCGTTGAGGATTCATGGATCAAGCAGCTTACGGCGCTCAACAAGAGCATCGTGTTTATGGGCGACGACACGTGGGGCAAGCTGTACCCGACGTCGTTCCTTCGAAACTACTCCTACGATTCGTTCAATGTGAAAGACCTCGACACCGTCGACAACGGCGTGCTGGAGCATTTCTTCCCCGAACTGGTCAACCAAACCGACTGGGACGTCCTCATCGCGCACTTTCTTGGTCCGTACATCGATGGCATTGTCGTTGATGATGTTGTCCTAGGGGTCGATCATGTCGGTCACACGTTTGGGCCGAACCACCCGAAGATGCAGTCCAAACTGCATCAAATGAACGAATTCCTCGTCGAGTTGACCAACACGTTGCCTTCGGATGTCTTGGCGGTGCAGACATCGACCCTCTACAATCCTGTACTGATGGAATCCTTCTTGATAGGTTGTGCTGGGGGACCATGGCATGAGCAGCGACGGCAACCACGGCGGCGCCACCGACGACGAGACCGGCGCCGCCTTGTTTCTGTTCTCCAAGGCACGGCCGCTGCATGCGCTGGACCAAGACCGGTCCATGTACGACGTTCTCTTTGACTCGCCCAACGAAGTGGCCCAAGTGGACCTCGTGCCTACACTTTCTCTTCTCATGGGGCTCCCCATTCCATTCGGCAACCTCGGCGCTGTCATCCCGAACCTCTTCTTCGAGTCCACCGGTCCAGGAGCGTTCAATGTCACTGATGCGCTAACCCACCTCAACGATGCCCTTTGGGTGAACGCCCATCAGCTGCGACACCAGTTCCTGACCACACAAACCATTCGCATGGATTTGCCTGCCATGATACAACTTGAAAAAGTGTTTGCAGCGGCCCAAGCCAGCGCCATGGACGCCCATGCCACGCACAGGCTGCTTCAGACCTATCTCCGTGATGCTCTGTCCCTCTCACGGGCGCTATACACCCAATTCGATCTCGTGAGCATGATCCACGGCATCGCTCTCCAACTTGCAGCCTTTGTGGCGCTTCACTTTGGCTCGTTCTGTCTCCGTCGTCTTCCGATGGCGCTAGGCGTCGGGTGCTTTGTCGGGTTTACCTGGCCATTCATCGCTTCCCACGTTTCGGCGCTGCTTCCTGGTGCGCCGCTTCCTCGCTACCTTGCGACTGCCGGCCTCTCCACCGCCTTACTAGCGTTTCGCTATCGTCCTTTCGTAAGTGCTTCAACTCACTTGTCACGACGAAGCGTTGGCCTCGCGATGCTGGTCGTCCTACACTGCGCCAGCCTCTTCTCCAACTCGTACCTGGTCGTGCAAGACCGTGTCCTGCTCTTCCTCAGCGCCACGACCGTTGCTCTCCTCGGCATGGACATCCTCGTCCAACGCAAGTGGTCCCACCTGCCGCCGTTCATGCTCCTCTGTGTCGTCCACCGCCTCTTCGCCGCGTGGCCGCATCCGAACATTGTGTTCACGACGGTGACCGTCCAAATGACGTGGATACCCATGGCGGCCCTGGGCGTTTGGATCTGTTTCGTCCATCCACTCAGCTTGATCAGCTATGTCTGCGTATGGCTCTACTGGTTCGACGTTTTTCCGCTCTTCCTTCCCTGGGTTGTCTACGGCTGGACCATCCTCCATTTGAGGCAGCCATCGTCGCCGCTGCTTGTGCTCGTGCTCCTCCACGGCCCATCGTCGCCCGGGACATTTGCCCTCTTCATTGCCATGGCGACCCTCTTCCATTCCCTCGACAAGTCTCCGTCGGTGCCGACGACCGTCGGGTACTGCTTCCTCGTCCACACATTGTACTTTCAATCGGGCCACGGGAATTCTTTCGCGAGCCTTCAAAACGCCGCCGCTTTTGTCGGTATGGCCAAATTTCAATGGCACATTGCTGGTGTGCTGCTGGCCGTCAACACGTTCGGGGCATTTTGGCTTGGCCTTGCCCTCGTCCCCACGCCTGCCACTCAAACGACGACGGTTGTGACAGGGTACTTCACGCTCTCCGCCATATGCACCACGATCTTTGTGGCGATCTGCCGCCGCCATTTGATGGTCTGGGCAATCTTTGCGCCAAAGTTTGTGTTTGACGCAGCTATCTCGGTCGCGGTGCACGGCCTCGTCCTGGCCCAGGCGTTGCTTGGTCATGTTGAAAAGTCGGACGGCGACTGTAAGATGGCGCATCTTTCTTAGTCGTACAAACTTTCGTCGTACTGAATGTGGTCGTCTATGTTTTTGGCCGCCCCATTGAGCGACTTCCACGTGACCAGGTCTTTCTTCTCGAGCACGAACGCAATCGCGTCCTTCTTCGCCTTGTACTTCACATCCGAGATCTCAGCGAAGAGCGTTGGCACGACAAGACTCCGCACGTCGTTGTCGTCGAACGTGATGTCCAAACTCAGCGACGTCGGTGTCCATTCCATGTGGATCTTGTCGTTGGAGAGCGACCCGGCGTCGGGGTGATCCACATAGATCGTCACCTGCGCACAGACCGCATGAGGCGAAAGGTAGGTAAGTCAGTGTACCGTCTTCTTAGCGTCGGACCAGCCGTACGTGGAAATGACCTGGCGAACTCGAGTGGATTCCGCCGAGACTTCGCGAACCTTGTGCGCGTAGTAGTAGCTGTTGGTTCCGTTTCGAAGGATGTTCTCTTCAAGGGCCGACTTGGCTTTCTTCTCCGTTTCGTCGGCGGCTTTCTTGGCCGATTTCTTGGGTTTCTTTTTGGTGTACGTCTGTTCGATGACAGATTCAGGCGTCTCGTTGTCTCCAGCTGCGCGGGACCGGCCGAAGCATGAGATGAGGATGCTTAGCAGCACCGCAGCAATCGCAATGGCCACGCCGTAGAACTGCATGAGGGGGATGGGCAGCTTGAGACTGCCCCATGGACTCACGACCTCGACAAAGTCGCTATCAGCGCTCGGGACGTACAAGTACGGGAAGAAGAGCTCCGGCGACGGAGGGGGCGCCATTGTGACAGTGCTTGCCACGTTTCACCTGGGCATTCGGATAACATATCCGGAACATTGTCCGGTTGCCTGTATCCGGATGGCAACAACGTCGTTTCAGGTTTTCAACAGAACAAACGAGATCCCAGCAAGATGCATGCCCACGCGCGGCAACTGTTGCGGCGCAGCTTCCACGGCTACAACAGCTCGACCTTCGCGGGCGTCGTGCCCATGGTACTCGAGCAGAATGCGCGGGGAGAGCGCATTTATGACATTTACTCGCGCCTCCTCAAGGAACGGATCGTGTTCCTGAATGGACCTGTAAACGACCACATGGCATCGTTGACGACGGCGCAGTTGCTCTTCCTCGAGTGCGTGATTTCTGCACGGGCGGGTGATTCCTCTTCTTATCTTACCACTGCAGGAGCGAACATCCTGAGAAGGATATCTACTTGTACATCAATAGCCCAGGAGGTTCAGTCACGGCTGGCCTCGCCATCTATGACACCATGCAGTACATTCAACCGCGCGTGCAAACATTGTGTATCGGTCAAGCAGCGTCGATGGTATGTGCTTTTTGTTCTCCTTTCCCGATAAGTTTGCTGAACATGGAGAAGGGTGCCCTGTTACTTGCCGGTGGCGCGCCTGGGTGTCGCGCGGCACTTCCAAACTCGCGCATTATGGTGCATCAACCTTCCGGCGGCGCTCAAGGCATGGCAAGCGACATTGCGATTCAAGCAGAAGAGATTTTGCAGCTCCGACATCGATTGAATCGACTCTTCGCCAAGCACACAAACAAAGATTTGTCGGTGATCGAAAACGCCATGGATCGCGACAAGGTATGCACCGTATGCACACTCTGACCCTGACGCGGTGGATGTAGTTCATGGACGCGGAAGGTGCAATCGCATTTGGTCTCATCGACGCTATCTTAGCGCGCCGGCCCAAGGAACTTGAAGTGAAAGTTCCATGAGCGAGCGCCACGGGATCCATCAGCCGTTGCTGCATACTGTGAAAATTAATACCAATAGAGGAACAAAACCTTTTACTTTTAATACCTGCATTTCTTGTAGTACAATGGAGTCGTCGCCGACTGTGTTCGTGAGCTGCTACGGCGAGCATGTGACGAAGGAAGACTTACGGCGACACTTTGAAGAATGCGGCGCGATATACAGAATTGACATGATGGAGAACAACAGCGGGCGATTTACGTTTGTCGAGTTCACTGACGTCGCGGGCGGACGAGCTGCTGTGGTGAAGAAGGACGACTCGATTTTTCAAGGTAGACGACTCCGCGTGCGGTTCTCAAACAAGAAGAGCAACACGCCGCAATCGTCTCCCCCTCCAATTGCTCTCTCGATGCCGCTGTCTCCGCCGCCTCCCGTGGAATCTCATCGACCACGCAAGACACCCAATGCCATTGAGTCCCTCGGCCCTTCCGACCCGCGTTCACATTGGCTCTTCTCGTCGACGACACCTCTTGTAACCCCGTCGTACTTGGCTGGAATTCCTATTGACGTGGAGACCCAGCTTCGAAGGACAACCTCTTGGTACATCGTCGACCTGACACGCAAGTTGGACCTCCCACATGTGGCGACAGTCACCGCGATGACGTACATGAACCGCTTTTTCATGTTGCACTCGTTCTCTTCCCACGACCGCTACCTTGTCGGGTCTGCCGCGGTATTCCTCAGCGCCAAGGTCAACGAACGCACCGTCAAGTTGACGCAACTCACGGAGGCGAGTTTGATGCTGGCGAGTGATGCCCCAGACAAGTCGTCCTCCGTCACGCCGGCCGACATCGACCATGTGAAACAGCGCATCCGGCAATACGAAGTTGTGTTGCTCAATACGCTCTCCTACGACGTCGTGGTGCCGCAACCCCACCTGGCACTCGCCGCGCTAGCGGACGAAGCCATCGCACAAGTCGACATGGCTCGGGAAAACGTTCTGAATGTTGCGGACGTGTTTCTAAATGACGCCATGTCAGGTCGGTCGCGGCATGGTGTTTGTCAACTTAACTCGCCGCTAGGAACTGTCGCATTGCAGCTCACAGCAGACGAGCTGGCGGCGGGCGCGCTGTACTTGTCATGCCTCTTCCATCGGTACGTCATCGTTCGTTCATGGCAGCCCCATGCGTGGTCTCGTAGGATGGACGACTTTGTGCGCTCGACAGATGTGTTCGCCCATGTGCACATCAAGTCCGTGGCATGTCAGTTCCTCGCCATGTACGATTCGCACCGACTGCCGGGGTCTCTTCAAGCGTTCGCCAACGCAGCCAACTCAATTTATTGAACCCTGTGCCCTCTATTTTCTGAACGCCTTCGCATCTGCAGCGTCGTCCACGTCGACGTCCTTATCGTCTGCCAGGAGCATCGTGTCGTCCTGGAAAGCCTTGCTCTCGTCCTTGAGCGGGAGCATCACCATCGCCGCGTCCTGGTTGAGCTTCTTGAAGTTTACAATCTTCGTGAACAAGAACTCGAGCACGTGTTTGGCGTCGCTGCGTTCGGGATCCAATTTGGGCAAGATGCCGAGGATCCCTGCCGCCTCCTTGACGTAGTAGTCCAAATCGTCGTCGGAGCACTTGTTGGTGAGCTGCGCAAGCCGGAGCGACTCGGAGGCAAAGTGTTCGTCGAGGTCGAATTGATCCAGCGCTGGCGGCGGCATTTCGCGTAAAATGGGCGGAAATACAGCGGGTTTCAAAGGCGGCAACGGTGTCTCAAACTAAAGGTGCTATAAGGACAACAAGTAGACATGAAGCGAGGATGAACCTGTGGAGGAATGAGCGACAGTGGTTCATGCTTCACACCTAGCTCTTTGAAGAGAGCCACGGCATCAGGAATGAGCGACGTATCGAACTTGAACAGCGTGTTATCAAAGAGCTTGGTGAAGTCTTTGGGTAGCTCCTCGCCTTCCTGCATGCAAGATCGAAGGCGCTCCGACAGTGCCTGGGTGTCGGGAAGGCGGTTGTAGTCGCTCAAGTCGGGATCTTCAGCATCCAATGGGTCGAACTGAACTTCTTTGTCTTTGAGGAGCCATCGAAATAGGATGTCTTGGAGCCGGCTGTTCTCGTCCTTGTCGAGCCAGTCATCGGAAAAGAGGTGCATGGAACCGAGTACTGCCAATCGACCGTTCTTTTTCTCCTTGGCGGGAGCAGACACCTAGCGATGGAAGAACAAGCATCAAGCAAACAATTGAAGGAAGGAAGTGCATACGCCATCGTGAGCCCACACGGCGCCAATGGGTCTGTTCATCGGGAACGAGATGAAGCCGGAACTCAGGATCGGCGCGGCGGGCTTCTTCACGTTCAACGTTGACCCGTACGGATAGACGAAATTGAGTCCCTTTTGGTCCTTTTCAATTCCATGAGCTTTATCAGCAACGGGGTCGCGCGCGAATATGTCCTTTCCTTTGCCCGACATCACGTTCGCCTACATGTGGGCGAGCAATGACTGGCATGTCGACGTCCACGGGAGATCGTACCACGCGAGCGATTTCACGGTTCACAATACCACTCGTGATGTATACTTCCTTCGGGTGATGGTACTTGTGGTACACAGTGCGAATGACCGAATCTTGATTGATAATGATCCCGTACTCCTTGAGGAAGCTGTTCAGGTTCGTATCCTTTTCACCGCCTTCGCCCATGCAGAAAAGCAGACTGCCCCCTTCGCGCATGTAGTCTTTCAACGCTTGGAACTCGGACGAGCTAAAGCGTTCGCGAACACCAGAGAACACAACAAGATTTGCTTGCTTGAGTCGGTCGAGAGACAGATCGTCCTTGTTCACGTCGACCTTGCAAGTCGTCTTGAGTTTTCGCGCCAGTTTCTTGTACCCTGACGTGGGGTAGAACTCCTCCTTCTTGGACGCATCGAACAAAACGACCATGGACACGCCGCCTGCCGCTACATTGAGCGAGTTATCGTATCCAGGGCCTTCCGACATGCCGCCGTCACTCCAGCCAAGAAAGAAGAAAATGTGCAAGGATTCGAGCGAAACGTCGCCTCCGGATGCATTATCCGGATTTTCGCAAATCTCACATTCAACCATATGCACATTTCCACCCAGGACATGACAAGCGACTCCGCGCCGGCACAAAGTGCGACGTAGGAACCGCGTCCTTGATCCATGGTGCGTCCGTATAGGATGAATGCATCCCATTAGATCCACGCGACTCTCCCTACCGATAAAGCAACATCTTCGCACTTGTACAATTCAGATAGTTAAGTCAGGCAGGCACACGATGCCATCAGCTCTTTCGTCGAACATATCGACACACAGTGAGGGAAGAAGAACCAATATCGATGGACTGCACCCTGTTTGAACGCTTCGTGGGTATGGAAGGTAGCCTGGGAAGGCGCATCCAACCGCTAGATGTATTTTCAAATCTCTCGGTCCATCGCAATCCACGGCTTTTTGCATGTTGCGTACCCACATGTTCCTCGCGCTCGAGACATCATTTCCACAGAGGACCTCCTCTTCGGTGCTTCCATGTACAATTCACGGTCCTTGGTAGAAGCCCACTCATGATGCCTCTTCCCCGTTGTTGAGTTGCCATCCCCTTCACAGCCATCGCGGCAGTCACCGCACGAATGTAATGCAGTTGATCTACTGACAATTCTCCACGCGGAAGACGAGGCCCATCCGATTGTCGAACGTGAGCCAGTCGCCATTGCACCATGCGAGTTCACTCAAGCCCTCCACCAGCTTCTTTCAAGACCGTCATGAAGGGCGCGACCTCCGTCCATGACACAGTGCACTCGACTGCATCGCTGGCACCCACAACCTTGCGATGGAGCGCTGCCTTCTGTAGGCACAATTGGAAGATCGATGTCTTCACGGTCAACCACGAAGCCCACGGTCCACACGGCGCCGGTGATCAATTCCATCTCCGACGAGACCACATTGACGCCAAGGAGCCCAACGGTGTGCTGACGGGAGCAATGTCGCCTGCGCATCCGGCGGATATCTCTGTCGGTGGCTTGTGCCGTCGAGTATCACTCTGTGCTGGTAAGGACGTAGCTTTCGTATACTTCGCAGCGCTTTCTTTGCGAGAGAGGAGGAAAACATTCACGTCCTTTTGCCTAGGGCATGTGGGACTCCCGGACAGAGTGAATTCGGTGCCTGTGAGGCGAGTTGCGAAAGGTTTGGTGCATCACCGAAATAGGCTCGTCTGCACAGATCAACTCACATCTCTTGAACCAGCACCGATGTTCAGGACATCCTGTATAGATGGCGTCGTCGACTGGGCATGCCTTCGTCGAGCGAAGAGCGCCACTCAGTCAGCATCAGGCGACATTCGTGGCATATCCTGTCCTAAATGGCGAAAGATGCCGTAGGCAAGTGTTGTGCGAGTGCATTAAATACTCGATTGGGTCAATAATCATGGAGAAATGCGACGCCTTCGTACTTGTACGACCCCGGCAGCGACGTCTCTGGCATCAACACAACGCCGTCCACGGTGAAGACGGTCACGTACGCCGCTTGCGAGCTCAACGCTTCGTTCTCCATGCTCTTCAACGCGACGATGACAGAGTCCTGGGTTCCCGGCACGAACTTGAAGCTGGAAAAGCCGCGCTCGGGGGTAATCGTTCCCACGGTGCGCACGTCCAAGTGACTAAAGTCCTCCGACGCGATGATCATGACGTTCGAGCCACGCTTCTCGTCCGCCATGTCGTCGTAACCTTCTTTCGACACGCGGCGTGGCAGGATGAACCACTGACGACGCACAGGACTCCATTCGATGGCTTCGTGGATCACATAGCCAGGATACCCGCACCCGACGACTTCCCGAATCTTCTTGAAGCGGTCTGACCAGTTCTCGTGCCGAATCGCGCCGTTGTGGGCGAGGATGCTGACCCACATGTTGTTTTCATGGACGACGTCCGTCCCAGATGTAAACTCTTTCCCGATGCTCCCCATGAAGAGCTCGCCGTCTTTGACTGTAGCCCACTCATGCTTTTGGCCCTTCGTTGTCATCCCGTCTCCTTCCATGGCGATTGCGACTGGCACGGCGCGCATGTCATTTGGTCCGTTGTGCATGTGATAATTTTCGAGGCGGAAGATGAGCCCCGTCCGGTCGTCGAACGAGTGCAACTGACCTTGATACCACGCCAGCTCGCTCAGCTCGAACCCGCGCCCGGCTTCGTTCAGAGTCGTGCTGAACGTTGCCATGTCTTTCCATGTCACGGAGTACTCGTACTTGGCGTTGTCATCGGCGGCAAAACTGCCCATCTTCTCGTGTCGGACCAAGATGGCCTTTTGAAAGTACGACTGAAACAGGGGCTTCTTGCTGTCCGCGACCTTGCTGGCCTTGTCTAGATCGGCCACAAAACCGATTTCTAATCGGTCAGGGATGTGTTGCCATGCGATCGCCAACGGCGCGGCAGATGTGTCCAAGTAGGATGGGATCCGGAACGACGGTGTCGACCGCAGCGAGCTGTTCAGTGTCGACAGTGACATGACCGTGATGAACACGAGCATGGCGAGGAAGCCATAGCGGACGCGTGTCTGGTCAATTATGCTGGAGGACGAAGGGGGCATGTCGTAGTCGGTGCTAATCTTGCGCTTCTGCTTTGGTCCCAGCCCTCCAAGCATGGGGGAATTGTGCCCGCGTGGACCGTGTGAAATCGGCCCACCAATAAGCGCGGGTGCTTATCCGGACCATTCCGGATACGAACCCCGTCCTCTGCAAATCGTGATGCGACCGTCCGTTGGGAATCCGACTGCTCAGGATGGCGGTGTGTGGTGGTGGATGGACTCTCTGCGCATGAACATTGGCCAAGAAGACATTGTTCCTGTCGCCACCGGAACACAAAGACGACGTTGCTACCCTGGAACCATTCGGACTGGCTGGCCGAACCTGCCACGCAATTTGTCGACGGGAGACGACACTCGTTGATAAGCACGTGCCACATCATGAACGCGCAGCAAGCAAGGCAACACGAATGATTTAAATTAGTCCTTCACGAAGCTACAGTCGAATCGTGGCCCTGGAATTTCTTGCGCGCAGACGCAAGGAGCTGCGCAATCTGAACATACCGATCGTCAAATGCTACCGAGTGCGAGACTAGCGCCTGCCCCGTCGAGTCGTCTGTATCGAAGTAAAACGTTCGTGTGAGCACGTGCCGGATCGTCGCATTGGTGGCGACGAGGGCGTCGACCGTCGCTTCATCTTCATCTTCCAGGACAAAGTCCATGACCCTGCCCAAGATATCCCGCGTTATGCGAGTTTCAAGCTGGACTTGCATCTCAATCTGGTCATTGTCGATGGGCCGGATGGTCAGGATGTTGCTCGGGGTGGCGTACACCGGGGCTGCCTTCTGCCAGAACGCAATGAATCCTTCAAGGGACGTGCCGTTCGACGTGAAACGGGGCGAGAAGCATGCGCGGAGGAATCTGACTTGAGCGTCTCCGCACACGCGGTAGCTGAACAAGTTTGTATACTCCATGACAATCGCAATGGGGCCGTCGGACGGCGACGGAATCGTTCGATAGAGGGCTAATTGACGCTGTGCCCGTTCCACTTCCCGACGGAGCTGCTCGATCGTGGCTTCAAGTTGCTGTGTAGACCGCTTCCGGCGATCACGGTGGCTGCGCATGTTCATCTTGCATTGCAGCCGTCGTCGGATCTGCTTTTCGTCCATGGCCAGGAGTGCCATGAGGTATAATGACGTGGTTCCGTCCTGTGAATGGGAAAACAGCAAATGACTTTCGGTCACATGACGGCGTGACATGTGCGCCGCTGCCGCACATGGTCAGGCTGCTGAGAAATCATCGCGATGTGTGTCGGCTCGCAGTGCCCTGTTCGTCTGCCTATTGTTAAGATTATATACACACTACAAGTTCAAAATTGCTTTGAAAATGTTGTTGATGCAATCGACAACCCTGTGGGTACGCCTACTTTAGTGGGCAAAACTATGAATTTCCAAACCAAAAAATCTCACATTGAACCAAACTCAGGAGATGCGGGAGCAGGGTGGCCTCCAATCGAGCAACGGAAACACTTAGGACGCTTAGGCTAGGGCTAGATTGTGCCATGCCTCAACTGGCCATTCTAATTCGAGGCCATGCACCTCAGAGCAGGGTCGTCTTATCTTTACCCTTGCGTTAGAAATTGCTCGTGGTGTACAGAGATCGGGATGATCGTGTCTTTAATATTGATGTCATTCTAGTCAGGGCGCTGGGACATATTTCCAATTGTTGCCTGAATTCCTTTCCAAACTCGAATTGACCCGCAGTTGCGTGGAGTCGATGGTGAACCCCTGATTTGTCGCATATGTGTCACCGAATTGGCCTTGGACATTCAGCGGCAGTCTGTTCTGATGTCGCCAAAATTCTTTACCATGTGCCCAATGTACTTAATTTGCCCAAAGTTTTCCGTGCAAGACAGCCGCGGACAACATGGGTGCGCAATGTAAATTTTCAAATTGGCGAAACGCATGCACACATGATGTAATGTTTTAAATACCACAATGATGAGTTGACGAATCACTACCCGATTGTATCAGCGTGGCCCAAAATAGAGGATAGGTATCAAAGGTTATGTATAGATAACGTTTACTTTCCTCCACCGAATCTCTTACCACACTATGAACGGGGCGGAGTACCGTCTAGTTTATTTCAGTTTAGACAGGTGATATGACACAACCCGACGACGCTCCGATCAGATTTGGTCAATTCTATATATATTCAGTTTAGACATACAAATCTCAAGTCAAAGTCTACCGACGACAACATAACAAAATTATCAATTGTCAATAGAAATAAATTTTACGATGCATAAAGTTCTGGAGAAATTTGAACAAAAAAATACAATACAAAACAGAAGTTTATAAAATTCAAAATTCATCCTCTCCAATGACTTGGGCTGAATCAATGGTATCATCAATGGAGCAGCTTACAACGAGGGATGCCATCGTTTCCTCGTCGACCATGTAGTCTTTAACGATTAACTCACCTTCGTCACTGGCCGACGTCACATTGTCCGCAAGTCTGCACTTTGAAATGCCACTCAATATGACACTGGTAGGCAGGCCAGCCCAAACCAATGAGATCCAACTCAGAATTCCATGCGATTAGGCGGCTGCAATTTGATAGGGCCCCCGCATACTCGGCTGGCAAACACTTGCTGCTTGATCATGTCGA